CTAATGGCAGATGACAACAACAACAGTTTTGAATTTTTGAAGCATGTAATGCTTAAAACTTTTTTTGTACTATTATGCATGGTTTGTTTACGTTTGCACAAAGCACAACTAAGCATTATTTTTTTATTTTGTTTTACTCCAGAAAAACTGAAACTTAGTATATACCTATATTGACCAAGAGCAATCAAAATGACTGCACTGTGAAAGAATAACTAATCTGCAAAGAAATTTGTCTAATTAATTTTTAATATTTTTTATATTATTTACAGTTATACAACAAATTATTACTAAATATTTTCAATAAAAAAATTTACTTCATTTGGAAAAAAAGTAATTTATGCATTATTATTTGTTCTTTTTTTTGTAAACGGAAAAGCAGTCAAAATGACTTCCTTGGGCAATTTAGTGTTAATTGTGTGTGGTGCAATAAGTTGTGCAATAAATTCAATACAAAAATTCTATGTTGTGCAATAATTTTAATACAAAAATTCAATGTTGTGCTATAAATTCAATACGAAATTTCAACGCTGTGCAATAAATTCAATAAGTTAACAGTTTTGAATTTTTTAAAGCATGAAATGTTTAAAAGTTTTTCTGTACTGTTATACGTGACTTGTATACTGCTGCACACAATTAAACATGGAATGTTTTTGAAATAAACTGCAATATTTCTGCCTTACCAAAAGCTCAAAATAAAAATAATAAAAATTAAACCTTTTGAATCAAAATAAGAATTTCAAATTATTGTGCCCTGAAACTATCATTGTGATCTATTCTAAAACAATACACTTAGATAAAAATGCGTAACAAGTATTTTAAACTATAAATAATTTCTATTTTCGTAATCTATTTTATTTATTTAATTCAATTAAGTTTAAAAAATAAAATTTTAAATTTAGCAATATATTTTTGAGTAGCATTTCATTTTTATTTAAGCTTGATTAACTTCCAAATGCAATAAGCAATATAAAAAACAAAATCCGTTTATTGATAATATTTTGATTATCGACTGTTTATTTTTTGTTTAACTGTTCTGCATGAATCTTAAGAGTACAGTGAAGCATTGTAAGTAACTCAAACAGTTAGAAACTTTCAGTTCATCTAATGCAAATATAGGTAACAACACGTGAGTTAAGTTAGCTCTTCTCTTATACGTAGTTCACGAAGTGGAAACAGAGACTGAATAAATCTTTCCTTTTTCATTAAACTATTCAACTAGTTGATACGCTCTTGGAGTAGAATGATTTATTCAGGGTTTTATTCATGCGTATACACTATTCCGACTATAATGAAATCTTGTGTTATATTAAATTACTAAATGAACATTATTTTGCACAAAAAAATGTGTGATTGCGTTTTAGTTTCCGATTATGAGCTTATTTAAGCATTGTAGGAAACTCATTACAGTTCAAACAAGGCAAATTTTATATCAAAATCAATATGAAAATGAAACTTCAATGCACCTTTTCTCAAAAAATATTGAATAGATTTTCTTAACTTTTGTTTTCCTGTTCGTCTTGTAAAAGGAAGTATTTAAATATGCATTTAGTTACAAAATAGCCTCTGTGTAAAATGTACATTTTTAATTTGTTTTTAAAGTGTTTTTCAAAAAAATCATTTCTTAAAGTTTAAAAATCAAAATTTTCAAGTTCTAAAATTCCTCTTGTAAAAGGAAGTATTTAAATATGCATTTGTGTACTAAATAGCTTCTGTTTAAAACGTACAATATTTATTTATTTTTTAAGTGTTTTTTTATATAATTTCTTAAATTTTAAAAATCAAAATTTTCAAGTTTCAGAAATTTAGAACTATTTTTTTCAAAATAGTTCTAAATAGTTTTAGAAATAGTTTTTAAAATAGTTCTAAATAGTTTTTAAAAATAGTTACATTTTAGAACTATTTTTTAAAAAAAAAAATATCGAGGATTCGAACAACAATAAAAATTTCTTAAAAACTGTACTTATAGTAATTACTGAGATAATGAATTGATCATCCGACTCGGTGAATGTAAAAAAATATCTAATTGTAATAAATATGTAATAAATTTTAATAATATTTTTTACCTAAATCATTAAGAATTTTCAAATAGCAAAATTAAATAAACTACATTCGCACCAAAAGGATATAAGAAGTTTTAAAAATCGATAAATGATTTTTTTTATATTAAATTTACAGTATTCGGACAAAATCATGCATAGAAAACATTTTAAATGACTCATTACATAAGCATTTCGCATAATGCTATTATAAAAGTATTGTGCAAATAAGTGATTTCGTCACCATGCTGTTTTCAACTTACGAATATTTTCTATGCACATACTTTTTCTCAAAAAATACTCAATGGATTTTCTAAGCTTTTTTTTTTTTAGCTTCTCTAGTACCTCCTATTAAAAAGGTATTTAATTACGCACTTGTTTACAAAATATCTTCAGTTTTAAACCTACATAGGCGTACATACCAATCTACGCACGGGGGAGATTTACGTATTTTCAAATTCCGGGCATCGGTGAGCGAGGAAAAAAAAAAAAAGAAAAAAAAAACATCACGTAAACGGACCAACTTGAATGATGAAACTCGTAACCACCCCCGGCCAGACATCTACATGTTTAAAAAAATTGCGAGTTTAAAAGCTATTTGGCACTTTGGCAGTAGTAATTGGCACGACAAACTTCCTCTACTCATGTGTACAATACGTCACTACACGTCATTCAAAGTTTTTTCAAGAGAGATTTTCTACTCGTCGCCTTTACAGGCGATTTTATCCACACTCTGCCTAAGAAAAAATATTGTTTTACTTTATGTCGTGCAAAAAGTTAATATTTAGCAATTAACTGAACAATATCATCTTGCTATTATGTACTGTGTTTGAAAAAGTGTAAAAGGCCAACATAGAAATTCTAATCTATTAAGCACATTTTCATAGAGTTTAAATATGTTAAATATACACTCTGAAATGAGCTCCAAAAACTATTGTATGTCAAAGGTACCACTTTGACAGTACACAGATGGGTAATAGATATATGCTTATAAAACTAAAGCGTACCTACTTGAAATACATGTATGCTAATATAGCTTTAAGGAATTCACATGGATAGTACACATATGCTTATATAAAAAGAAAGTACCCACTTAGATTACACAAATGGTAGAAATGTAGAAATGTATGCTTACTAAGATATTCAGTTGGATAGTATACGTATGCAGATAGCTATAAAGTACTCATTTGGACAAAACATAGATGCTTGTATAGCTAGAAAAGTATCCATTTAATAGTACACATACAATATATAAGAAGTAACCCTTTGGATAATACACATATGTTTAAAAAGTTAGAAAATAACTACTTAGATTGTAGACTACTGTTAATATCACTTGAAGATATCCACTTGCATGGTACTACTCAAATGCTGATATAGCTAGAGGGTACTACTTGGATAGCACGCCATTGCGTATTGCTATAAGCAAATTATTTGAAAAGCACACACATGCTTATATAGCTAGAAAGTATCCGTTTGATAGCACACATAAGAAATATATTTATAAACTAACCCTTTGGATAATAATGCTGATATAGCTAGAAAGTACTCCGTTAGATTGTACACATGTGTTAATATAACCTGTAAGGTATTTCACCTGAGATTTTTAGGATGGGATAAAAAAATGTATGCTTAAGAATTGTGACTACAAATAGCAAGAAAAAGTTTTGTTTTTTAATCCTAATTTTGGAAAAAAAATAATAACATTGTAAGAAATATTTATGTCTTTAGGACGCACATGAGCCTCAAATGTTAGAAAAAGTGTAACCGAAAAAATGTTTTTTTTTTTTACTAAAATATAAATATAAATTTTTATTCTGACATTTTCTGCAAATTGATTCATCGGCGAACGGGTGCATTGATTAAAGAGACCATATTCAGTTACAAAAAAAATTTATAATAATAAAACAATAGAAACAGCAATATGATGGTACACTATTTTTAGGGCTTTTTAATAACCCATTCATTCCGAACCATTGCCTGCCACACAAGCAATGCTGAATTATTGTGAGTGAAGAAACGCCTTCTGAAGATCAGGCAGAAATTCATAACATCGTTCAAGTTTAACTCTTTTAATACATCTTCAAAAATAATGATTGTAACAGTTTTTTAGGTCAGGGATAAAACTAAACTAATTACGCGAAATTAGCGAAAATCTGACTTTTAGAGGGTGCAGTTTTTCTATTTTAGTACAGCCCTACACTTTTCGTAATAAATGTGAACTGTGTTTGTTATACAATCATAATTTAATAGCCTGTTAGCATGAGGAGATCACGGTTTATGAAACTCCAAAACCCTAACCTATCTATCAATCTTGATATGAAGGACAGTTATGTACAAAATATTTGAATTTTCAGTTACATTATATTTGAATTTTCTTTTACAATGATTTCAATTATCTATTATACTTTTGGATTTAGGTTTGAAGTTCGATTGTATTATGACAAAATTGAAGTCTTTAATAATAGCTTTTAACGCGTTCACGCCGGGAAAAGTGAAAATACTTGTACAGGAAAAGAGAAAATACTGGTAGAAGAACTATTTCAATATTAGATAATATTCGGGAGGAGTTAATCTGTTCTCAACAATAACAATTCAATATAAGGAAATTTATCACGGCGAAGAAGCAATTCAATATAAAAATTGCATCCGTTAAAAACAATTGGTAGTTATGGATTTTTATTATTCCCGGAAAAAAACTAAAAAATAAAATTTATTTGTTACCAGTTTTTACTCCGGTGTGCCGCCAAGATGAGAAAATCTAGCTTGACCCACCGGTGGGTCACCCCGGCGTGAACGTGTTGTACAGAAAAGTTGTTCTCAAATAACCCATCTCTACCGTAGTCCCCCGAAGATTCAATGACCTGTTTCACAGCCTTTTTAACAGCCAGAAGGGAAATGGGAATTTTAATAATTAAAACTTCAATGATTGCTTTGTTCTTAAGAATAACGAAGAACACTTGTTTTTCACATTTTCTTTTATTGAGAGTGGAAGTTGACACTCTATAGACACTTCATAGTTAAAAAATCTGAAATTAAATATTGGTGGAAGTCGCCGGTGGATTGGAATTTTGGTGGATTGGAATATTGAGGAGTCTTGAATCCAAACAATTGACTTTTTACCTTGAGTATTTCTCTACAGAAAACATTTCAGAGATTGTTACTTTACTTTACTTTATTAATCCAAAATTGGGTGCCTGGGCCGCGCAGCGGCCCCTAACCCATCCATCATGAAGTATTTACAAGTTGAATTAAAAACATTTTGAATTATGCAGCATTAAGGTAGCAGAACAGAAGATCAAGCAAATTTGCTTGATAAATTAAACATGAATTGATATTTAAAATTAGTCATGATTTATAAAATAATCAGAAATTTTCATGAATATAAAAAGCAAAATTGATATTGAAGTATTGAATGGGATTAAATTTGATGCAATCATAAGTTGTGTTTTAAAAGTGAATTAATTTAAAATATTAACAAGTACAATTGAAATTTTAGCATTGAATGGAGTTTAAATTTGATGCAGTCATAAGTCATGATATAGATATGAATAGAATCAAGATATATACAAATACAATTGACATTTTAGCATTGAATTGAGTTAGAATTACGTGATTTGTAAGACAAATGTGAAATGAAACAAAATCATGAAGTTTTAGCATAAGTTTTGCATTTTCTTAGTGGTTTCCTTATCTAGTTAGTCTCCTTATCTAACGTGGCAATAAGCAGTATTAAATTTAGTGTTGAATTTACCAGTTCATAAGTTCAGTAGAATAGAGTTCTATGTTGAGTGAAAACAAGTCAGAGGGAGACATTGTTCAGAAGTGGACATGATTGTTTGCAGTAGTTGGAAAACTTCTCTGTCTTTTAATAGTTCTTGTAGTTCTTTTAAAATTGAGACCAGTCTATGAGCTTTGCCTGCTTTTGAAGTGGGAACTATAGCTGGAGTGACACGATGGCCCCGGGGACGGAAGCTGCATCCCGTGTAGTTAGCAGTGTGTGCTTCCCCACAGTTACAGCATTTTGGAGGTATGTTGATGTCCTTATGGCGCAAATAGGATCGGTGACCCGCGGCACATTTAACACATCTGTGAGGAGAACAGCAATTTCTTTGAGTGTGACCAAAGTTTTGGCATTTGAAACATTGAGTTGGACTGTTCCCTTTACGGAACCTTTCTATTTTCACCGGGACATCGCATATGCTGGTGATTGAGTAGATTTGTCGGTTATTTTCGGATTCTATGAGTATTATGAGAAAAAGTGGGAGGAGCCGATGGGCCTCGCCCACTTTTCTCTTGAACTGGATAACTTTCTGTGATTTAATGCCTTTCTTGTCCAAATCAAGGTAAATATTATCTGTAGGGAAACCCTCTGGAAGTCCACGTGCCAGAACTTTTATGTGCGTGACTGTTTGAACGGTTTCTGAAGATGTGGGCAGAGCTCCGTCTTCAATCGCATCCTCTATGGGTGGAGCTATGTAGGAGTTGACTGTTGCATCTGGTAGTGGCAAGGAGGTGGCGGCATCTATTGGTGAAGAAGAGGTACTTTCTGTAATCATGATTTGCGTATCCTCAATATTTTTGGCTTTGTTTTGCTTTTTCTTCTTCCTTTTTCGCTTTTTCGTAGGGGGCTCTGCATTATTTTTAGCTGTATTTTCTGTATCGGTTGTCATTTCGCTTTTCTGTTCTAATATTTGGCCTGCATCTTGAGTTTCCATAAGTTGAGTTTTGAGTTGCGAGCAATCCTGGAGCACTTTCGCTGTTGTTTCAATTTCTTCGTTGGTCATCCTTATCATTTCCATCCATTCTTCATATGACTTTCGTTCATCTGGACTCAAGCTTTCCACATTTACCGTTGGTTCTCGTGAAGTCTTTTCAGTTTGCCATTTTCCGCCACGTGGATGATTTTGATATGTAGCCATATTGCGTGATTTGATTTTGTTGTCGAATTCTGTGGATTCCTCATCCGTCGTAGAGTCACTGAGGTTTTGACGCCCGGTAGGCGTGCTTGTCTTTCCACCACGTCCGCAACGTCGAAGACTCATTTTGCAGTACTTTAAAAATTGAATTGAATAAACTTAATTTTTGTACTTTACTTTAAACTGCGAGCTTCAAACTTTGTCACGTCCAGACATAATTTCGAGAGAATTATTGAGAACTACTCACCAAAAGGATTAAACATCAATAACTCAAAACATCAAAATTTTTCCTCGTCAGGAACATCAAATGGGCGACATCCGTTTGGCAAGTTAAGATTCCAAAGTGACTACCTTGACTGAGAGCACGGCTTCATTGACCAAGTTGCCCAAAATTTTCATTGGGTAAAACGCATGGCATCCAGAGATTGTTACACATGGGTGAAAGCCCTTATATAGCAAGACGGAAAAGAGAAAAACCTGGTACGTAAACCATTTCATTCCAGCATTTTTTTCGAAAAAAAAATGAAATATCTGTAACTATCAAGATTTCTTTTATAATTCTGGCATATATATAAAACTGCTTCTTTTCCAAGATAAAGTAGATATTGTTGAAAAATTTAAAAAAAGAAAAAGTAAACTCCTCCCCAAAACTAGCTATAACTGAAATGGTTTTACTACCAGCCTTTTTTCTTTTCCGTCTCGCTTTCACCCCTTTTGTTACATGTCATCTACTGCTAGCAGTTGCCATGGTAAGCAAAGTAGGCGTTCCTTCGGTACAAGAAACGCCTACTTTTCTAATCTGGATACAAGAGTATCATATGGAGAATTTCTTACTAACTTTCAATAAGTTTACGGGTTTACGTTTCGCGAAATATTTCTCTTAATCAAATCATACTGATTGAGCATACGTATTTAAGATATAACAAGTATTTTTATTTACCTGATATGTTTATTTGGCGAAATATACATCCATGGAACTCGGATACCACACGTAATAACTAAAAAATAATGGATTTCTGAAAGTGAGATCAGTATCACATTTTCTATCACCCTGACAATATATTTTTAAAACTACAATTTCCTCAAATTGTGTTTTTAAAAGTTATAACAGGTAATTTCATAATTCAAAAATATATCCGGTGTTGAGGTTAAACCACCTAAATGCTCAAAAATATCTCCGAAAGCAAAATTTTCGAAATGAAGGAAATAGTAGGACATTGCAGCAGTCGTTGGATTGCCACAATGTTGTGAACCGTATGTATAGCTGTGGAATCGCAGCAAATACCAATTAAAGGCCACGAATCAACGAACTTTTGTTATCCAAATAATGATAATTTTTTCCAGATAATTTGGACCCAACAAGTAGACGAATTTTAAATGTCATAGATATATTTACCCAAGATCTTGAATCATGTTTTTGTGCGATATCTGTATCATCCTATTTTGCATTTTCGAATTAATTTTTTTCGGCGACTTGTCTCGGTGATATCATTTCATTTTCTTAATATATTTTCTATATATTCCCTTTCTTTTCTTAATTCTTCTTAATTCTTTACACCATTCGATTACGTAACATTAGTTAAATAGTTAAATGCTGTAGGTTTTATTTGACGAAGTATAATTGTTTTCTGCTACTGCGCCGAATTCAATACATTCGGTTAATATGTTCTAACTCGTTTTCAAATTTTAACTATCAGTAGTAGGTTCATTCATATATATATCCTGGGCCGCGCA